TATTACTCTCCCCCCCCCCCCCCAAAAAAAAATAAAAATTACTAAGTTTATTTACAGTATTTTTTTTTTTCAGGTTTACAAAGAATTATTGGATAAAACAAAGTCTATTGAAGGTGTTAGAGTGGAGAATAATAAGTTTTGTGTGTCTGTGCATTTCCGTTGCGTCGATGAAAAGGTATGAACAAATTTCACATATTATTTTTCGAAAAATTTATATATGTCTCGTACAACTGACACAAGTAAATCTCTTGATAAATATTAGTAACGAATAACCTAGTAAAAATGAAAACTAACTTATAATTACAAGTTAAAATTCAAAGTTTGTATTTTTTTTAAAAACCCATAAAAATAGTTTACTAACACTTTTCAATGTTGTTCATAAAGAAAGCCAACATCTTGGATTACGAGTAAAACTTCATGACTATATATATCTCACACGTAGAAATTAAAACTTCGATATAATTACTATTTTTCAATTACAGAAGGTAAAAGATAGATGACTATTTGTGAAATTTACTTTTAAAAAAAAACTTTACATTCTCTATGTATATTAATATATAATAATCCATATCCATGGCCCATTCAAAAGTAGAATTAAACAAAAATAAGCATCATCTTTTTATAGTTTAGACAAAGCATATAAGATTATATAAAGCACAAATAATGTTAAGGTTTTTTTTTTTAAAAAAGAGTTGCAACTTTAAAAAAGTTAAAGAAAATATTTAATTTAATTTAATAATTAATTATTTATTATTATTTTTGGTAACAGAAATGGGGTGAATTATCACAACAAGTAAGTTTAGTGCTAAAAGAATATCCAAAGCTTAAATTATGCCAAGGAAGAAAGGTATTAGAGATCCGTCCTATTATTAAATGGGACAAAGGAAAAGCTCTTCAATTTTTGCTTCAATCACTTGGTAAGAATATTCTACTTTTAAAATATTCATAATTTTTATTTTTTATTTTATCATCACTAAAATAAAATATTGAGAAGAAATTAAGTTAATTATTAATCTTATTTCAACAGGATATGCTAAATGTAATGATGTCTTTCCTATTTATATTGGTGATGATCGAACAGATGAAGATGCTTTCAAGGTTTAATATATTCTTCTTTACCCTTTATTTAATTATAAAAATTTAGTATATTAGAATTTTTTCCTAGAGGGTTTTATTAATTTTCCTTTAATTTTTTAAGTTACTAAAATGAATAATTATAAGGATGTAAGTTATACCTCTACTAGAAATTAATATAAGCTCCTTTTCCATCATGAATCCAGTGATTTTTTTATATATATAAAATATGATTTTTACATCGAACCAATTTATTGGGGAAAGGCATGGTGGGGAAACAGATTCTCACTGAAATATCAGGAAGCTTTCTGATTTTTTCATGCAAAAACACTACTTTTTTTCATCGATTCAATCAAAATATCTGTGAAAATAGCTACGGAATATTTTTCATCGAGAAATTTCAGTGAAAGAATAATAAATTTAATAGTGTACACACTAACAACATAATGGTTTATTTATATTATCAGTAAATTTTAATTTGTGATAACAGGTTCGTTTACTATTTTTATCAAATTATCAATTAGTGTTTATCTATAGATTTATTTGTAATAACATGATTGTATAAATATATGTTTCACTATTAGTAAATATAATTTAAATTATATTTATTATATAATTTTAGATATATTTTGATAATTATTACTTTGAGAAGTTAAACTATTTATTAATTATTAAACAAATTATATGTTGAATGTATAATAGGTACTTAGAGAAAGAAGGCAAGGTTTAGGCATTCTCGTCTCAAAAACTCCAAAAGACACACATGCATCTTATTCTTTACAAGAACCTTCTGAGGTGAGAATCTTTAAACATTTAAGCAAAGTACATTAGGGGTGTGTTTGGTACGAAAGAAAATATTTTTCAATTTTTTCATATTTGATTGGGTAAAATATTTTTCAAATCAACTCATTTTTTTCAAGTTTAAGGAAAATGACTTCCCTTCAAAAATTAAGGAAAACATTTTCCAAAACATTCCTCCAACTTCAAATTATAGGAAAAATAAATTTAAAGCTTATTTTAAAAAAATATTTTTCAACTTCAATTTTTTTTATTTTTTTACCTCACCCTCACCCCGACCCCCCTACCCCTGCCAGCCCCCTACCACCCT